GACCAGTTGAGGCTTGAAGAATGTATTCATCTCTGGAGATGAAAAAGTGAGGACCTGGCAAACAGTTATACCAAGGAAGTTACGGGAAGTTGTGTTGCGTCAATCCCATGATACTGTAACAGGAGGACATCTTGGACATGGGGTCACCTACGATAGAGATTTTCTGGATATGTATGAGGCAAGATGTGGAAGAATGGTGCAGAATATGCAGTACATGTTGTGCTAAAAGGGGACCCAAACATAAAGGACGTGCTCCAATGAAGTTATATCAAGTTGGTGCACCAATGGAAAGAGTAGCCATTGGCATTGTTGGCCCTTTGCCCCAAACTTGTGCTGGAAACAGGTACATTTGTGTGATGATGGATTATTTCACCAAATGGTCTGAGGCATATGCAATACCAAATCAGGAAGCTACAACTGTAGCTTTGGCTATTAGTGATTTCTTCTTCAGATTTGGTATGCCATACGAACTGGATTCGGATCAAGGCTGTAACTTTGAATCAGCTGTGTTCCATGAATGCTGCAAGTTGTTTGGCATACGAAAGACCTGAACAACGCCACTTCACCCGCAGTCTGATGGGATGGTAGAAAAGTACAACTGGACACTGGGACAGAAATTGGCATAGTTTTGTAATAGCTGCCAAGATGATTGGGATGTCTTAATCCCTCTGCTCTTGATAGCCTATAGGACAGCAGAGCATGAAGGCACTGGATACACTCCAGCAAAGTTGATGTTTGGTCAGGAATTTTGGTTGCCAGTGGACCTGATAACAGGACGCCCACCTTATGAAGAATTGCCTGATTTCATGAAAGAGTTATCTGAAAGGATAGATAATATTCACCATCAAGTGCGTTCAAACTTAAAAACGTCTGCTGATTCCATGAAGCTATGTTATGATAAGAAGTATACTGAAGTCAACTCTGTACCAGGAGACAAGATGTGGTTGTTTAATCCCAGGAAGGCCAAAGAGAAGTCTCCTAAGTTGTCTTCTCCATAGGAAGGCCCATATGATATAGTGGATCG